CTGTCCAAAATGATGAATTCCCTGAAGTCACCATCAACGTGGCTGATAGAAGAAAGTCTAAACAGCATTCAAGTGACTCAAATCCCGACTTTTCCCCGAAAGGAAAAGTCAATCCAAGAATTGCTCAAAGGATGTCTCGACTCCAATTAGGAGCTATCAGACGCAGAGACTACAAGAGAATGCAAGAAGGAATGTCCTCGGAGGATGAATTCTCGGACACTTATTCTGCAATCGCTTCTGATGATACAATGTCTAGCACAGGACAAATCAGAGAAGTATTCACAATCACTGCTGATCAGTTCACTCAAATACTTCAGGAAGCTCTAGCCAAACAACGTGAAGAAATTAGAGCTGAAGTGAAGACAGAAATGAAGTTGGCTATCCAACAAATGAGAGAACTGTTAACTCAACAGCCTCAACCTCCTGAGTCCAATCAGCGATTTGAATCCAGCCACCACACTCGGAATGTTGTAGATGACAGTGATCCAGAGGTGGATGAAGTCATTATGGCTGATACACCTCCCAATGGCAATAACGCTGGGGGTGGTTTAACGGATCCTCCCAATAACGATATTGGGGGTGGTTCAATAGCACCTCTCACTGGGGGTGGTCCAATTATCTTTACTCGACATCATTCAGAAAGAAATGAAGATGATGACGGGAAAATGCAAAAACTTGAAGACAAAATCAATGCTTTGATGACGACCCAAGAAGTTAAGAAGACGGGTATTCCATGTCCTTATCCGAGGGAATGGGATTCAATACCATACCCGACCAAATTCAATCTGATTAACTTCACACCGTTTGAGGGGAAGAGTTCGCCGATTCAGCACTTGATTTATTTCAAGTCTCATTTGGGCATGATCTCTGGAAACGAGGCTTTAATGGTCCGGTCATTTGTTGGCACCCTTCGTGGGCCCGCCTTCGATTGGTACCGACGGCTCAAGCCAGGGAGCATCAATTGCTGGGATGACATGGAAAGTTTGTTCCTCAGCAATTTCTTCGATGATGACACCGAAGTGTCAATCGGAACCCTTCTAGATGAGAAGCAAAAAGACGGAGAGTCAGTTGACAATTTTGTCAAACGTTTCCGTAACAAAGCAATGAATTGCAGAGATCCTATCACGGAGGAGTTCAACATGTCACAATAACCTCTCCATCGATGTCCTGGAAGCTCTGGGGGTCGTGCCATCCACAACTTGGAAGGAGTTAAAATCTCGGGGTGAACAAGCTGAGCACTTTCTTAAAAGAAAGAAAGCTGAGAGAGCCCAACCAATGACATCTGCAATCATTGAGAATGCGACTCTCGATCCGAGGTTTCAAAAGGAATATTCTTTCGAGGATGATGAAGCTCCAGCCATCTTGGAATACCTCCTCGCTAATGACAAAATCGAGCTACCACCTATTAAAGATCAGGATGGTGCTAAAATGATTACGGATCCAAATTACTGTGCGTACCACAGAAGGGTTCTTCATCCCACTGAGATTTGCTTCGGACTCAAAAATAAAATCCAAGCATTAATTGACTCCGGCGTCATAACGGCGAAAGAAGTCGAGTAAAGACGACCATATAACTCCATTGGGTACACGAGTATAAACTGTTTCCCCTCACTCCGAAAAGTATACGAGTATAAACTGCTCCTCGATACTCCAAAAGGTATATGAGTCTAAACTATTTCCTTTCCTTAACGGGAAGTTCCTGGAGAATCCTATATTCTTAAGGATAACCCGAACATATGACTGAGGTTAACGTACTCCTCGTTATACCCAGTTTTACAAAGAAAGCTGGGGGTCGATAATTCATGTAATGGGAAGTTCCTGGAAGAATGTTAAATATAATATTCTTAGGGATAACCCGATTATTATGGACAGAATGATAAATACTAAGCTCCTATTATGATTTTCGAACACTCTTTTGCTGAGATGAGATTCGATCACTTCGTTAGATCAATCTTCCCTCACAAAACCCATTTGGTCAAACCTTTAAACAGTTAGGACCGAAGCCAAAATCCCCTCTCGATTCGTTCCATGAACGAGAGGTCCACAAATTGAACGATCAAACCTTTAAACAGTTAGGATCGTCTCAAATTCCCATTTTGGTCAAACCTTTAAACAGTTAGGACCAAAGCCAAAATCCCCTCTCGATTCGTTCCATGAACGAGAGGTCCACAAATTGAACGATCAAACCTTTAAACAGTTAGGATCGTCTCAAATTCCCATCTTGGTCAAACCTTTAAACAGTTAGGACCAAAGCCAAAATCCCCTCTCGATTCGTTCCATGAACGAGAGGTCCACAAATTGAACGATCAAACCTTTAAACAGTTAGGATCGTCTCAAATTCCCATCTTGGTCAAACCTTTAAACAGTTAGGACCAAAGCCAAAATCCCCTCTCGATTCGTTCCATGAACGAGAGGTCCACAAATTGAACGATCAAACCTTTAAACAGTTAGGATCGTCTCAAATTCCCATCTTGGTCAAACCTTTAAACAGTTAGGACCAAAGCCAAAATCCCCTCTCGATTCGTTCCATGAACGAGAGGTCCACAAATTGAACGATCAAACCTTTAAACAGTTAGGATCGTCTCAAATTCCCATCTTGGTCAAACCTTTAAACAGTTAGGACCAAAGCCAAAATCCCCTCTCGATTCGTTCCATGAACGAGAGGTCCACAAATTGAACGATCAAACCTTTAAACAGTTAGGATCGTCTCAAATTCCCATCTTGGTCAAACCTTTAAACAGTTAGGACCAAAGCCAAAATCCCCTCTCGATTCGTTCCATGAACGAGAGGTCCACAAATTGAACGATCAAACCTTTAAACAGTTAGGATCGTCTCAAATTCCCATCTTGGTCAAACCTTTAAACAGTTAGGACCAAAGCCAAAATCCCCTCTCGATTCGTTCCATGAACGAGAGGTCCACAAATTGAACGATCAAACCTTTAAACAGTTAGGATCGTCTCAAATTCCCATCTTGGTCAAACCTTTAAACAGTTAGGACCAAAGCCAAAATCCCCTCTCGATTCGTTCCATGAACGAGAGGTCCACAAATTGAACGATCAAACCTTTAAACAGTTAGGATCGTCTCAAATTCCCATCTTGGTCAAACCTTTAAACAGTTAGGACCAAAGCCAAAATCCCCTCTCGATTCGTTCCATGAACGAGAGGTCCACAAATTGAACGATCAAACCTTTAAACAGTTAGGATCGTCTCAAATTCCCATCTTGGTCAAACCTTTAAACAGTTAGGACCAAAGCCAAAATCCCCTCTCGATTCGTTCCATGAACGAGAGGTCCACAAATTGAACGATCAAACCTTTAAACAGTTAGGATCGTCTCAAATTCCCATCTTGGTCAAACCTTTAAACAGTTAGGACCAAAGCCAAAATCCCCTCTCGATTCGTTCCATGAACGAGAGGTCCACAAATTGAACGATCAAACCTTTAAACAGTTAGGATCGTCTCAAATTCCCATCTTGGTCAAACCTTTAAACAGTTAGGACCAAAGCCAAAATCCCCTCTCGATTCGTTCCATGAACGAGAGGTCCACAAATTGAACGATCAAACCTTTAAACAGTTAGGATCGTCTCAAATTCCCATCTTGGTCAAACCTTTAAACAGTTAGGACCAAAGCCAAAATCCCCTCTCGATTCGTTCCATGAACGAGAGGTCCACAAATTGAACGATCAAACCTTTAAACAGTTAGGATCGTCTCAAATTCCCATCTTGGTCAAACCTTTAAACAGTTAGGACCAAAGCCAAAATCCCCTCTCGATTCGTTCCATGAACGAGAGGTCCACAAATTGAACGATCAAACCTTTAAACAGTTAGGATCGTCTCAAATTCCCATCTTGGTCAAACCTTTAAACAGTTAGGACCAAAGCCAAAATCCCCTCTCGATTCGTTCCATGAACGAGAGGTCCACAAATTGAACGATCAAACCTTTAAACAGTTAGGATCGTCTCAAATTCCCATCTTGGTCAAACCTTTAAACAGTTAGGACCAAAGCCAAAATCCCCTCTCGATTCGTTCCATGAACGAGAGGTCCACAAATTGAACGATCAAACCTTTAAACAGTTAGGATCGTCTCAAATTCCCATCTTGGTCAAACCTTTAAACAGTTAGGACCAAAGCCAAAATCCCCTCTCGATTCGTTCCATATATATATATATATATATTAGAAGTGACAATTTAAATTTAACTTCATAATTGTGTCAACTCATCTAACTCTGCTAATATTACTGTTGCTGGCTAAATATGAAGTGACTGTCGAATTTACCTGCTTTCTTTCTCTATTTCACATTTAATAAAGCAAATCATGGCATGAATCATTATCCAATAGATGCAAGCATATATATATATATGTATATTATAAGTGACAATTTAAATTTAACTTCATAATTGTGTCAACTCATCTAACTCTGCTAATATTACTGTTGCTGGCTAAATATGAAGTGACTGTCGAATTTACCTGCTTTCTTTCTCTATTTCACATTTAATAAAGCAAATCATGGCATGAATCATTATCCAATAGATGCAAGCAAACATGGAGTTTTTTCATAAGTTATAATTTGTTGACGTGCATCCTTGACTCCCGTCAAGGATGCGCATTTTACCGTAAACAATGCATATCCATCAAGAATGTGCATCCTTGATGGGCCTGCCATCAATAATGCATACAATCTAGAGGGTGGGGGGATTGCTGAAAATTCACAATTTCATTAATATAAAATACACATTTTCCTGTATGCGATACTTCAATGGAAAATATACGCAATTCATCAACAAATACAATATTTTCATCATACTTGTCAAAATCACCACAATCTACATGTACCAAAGCCCAGTAAAGTACATCCATAATTCACAGACTATATTTCTCATACATCCAAGATACACAATACAAAAGATTGAAATTTCACAACCCTTTCTCATACATCCAAGATACACAATACAAAAGATCGAAATTTCACAATCCAATCAAACAAGATAAATCCACAAAATGCCTACAATAGGAACATAATCATAGTACCCACAAACAAGTCTAGGATATAAAATTTTACAAAATCCAACAAACATGTCACAATCCCCACAAACAAATCTAGGATATATAAAGTACTACAAATAGTCGAGATGCAGAAGTATATATCTCCCATACAAGTATGTCCAAGATACAAAATGATAAAACTCACTAATTGAGATCTTCATCCTCGTCGTATCCTCATCCCCATCATTGGTGGCTGATCCATTCCTACAACTGGTGTTCCGATGACATCATCACTCCTTCGTGCTAATCATCCAAGATATGAAGTAAATATGTTAGCCCATTCTCTAGTTGGAAGCCCATTTTTTTATTTACACTGACATGATAACCCTTAGTAATTTCTTTCTTAGCTCACTCCCTTACGGCCTTTCTTCTTGTAAACTTCATTTCCTACGAAGCCAGGAAGAAAAACAAATATATTAGTAATGTAAAAGTGCAAAACTGTAAGTTAATAAATCATTTAATGTATAAAGAAAAATCCTAAAATCATTTTAATTTGATAAAGCTTTGTGACCATATATCTACGTGAGAAATAACATCAATGCTAGATATTTCTTTTTGAGTTTCTCACAAGGAAACTATGAAAAAGAAAGGGGATTACCAAAATATTTAACAGGTCGATCTATTAGCATGTACAAGTTAATAAAGGAGGGTGGCTGCTCCCCACTCTCACCTAATGAGTATATATGCATATATCATAAATAATAAATATTTACTAATTAGTACCAGTAAGGGGATATAATGTTGGCATTGCAGGGAACGAGGGCAATGACTTCTCACTCTCACCTAAAGGAAATAACGAGCATAAGTGTATATACCATGAATAATAAATGTTTTACTAATTAATACCTGATCTACATGAATTTGACCATTGTTGGTCGATGTCGGGTTTATGAAATTGCCTCCTACTCGTCTGTAGACATCTGCAAGTTGACCCTCCGTCGAGCCATGTAAAAAGTTCTATTCATTCGAAACCGTTAAAATTGATACGAGTGGATGAAGGGTCAAACCACGACGGGTTCACCTACATGAGATCATTTTTTCCTGCTTCATGTGTCAATAGAATTAAAATTCCGATCACATTTTTAAGTTTCTTTTATCATATTGATTATCATAAATTGGAAACTACTCCTTTTTATTAGACATCCAAACGACCCTTTAATTATATAGTTTTGAACTTAGATATGGACTAAAATGAACCGGACCCATATCTAACTATTTTCAAGAAACGGATGTGAAGTGTAAGCCATACGTCCAAGATGTGTTTGACAAGTGTTTTAAATTAGCACATGTATCGTATAATTGAGTACATGTTGAACTAAATGCATTCATATATTCAAGAAGTGTCCATGAACATGAAGTTTGGGTACGAAAAAGTGTCAGGTACGTGTCCGGTACGGATATAGTTATAGAAGTACCTGTAACATAGATGTATACTGATAAATTTAAGACATCGTTGTATGAATTTACTATATTGAAAATGATCCATTTAAAAGATTATGCAAACTGCATTCATATTCGATTTGACTAGAATTAAAAACTAATTACCTTTCTACTATGTTACCTGGGTACTTCTATTAGGAAGCCATACCCACATCCGATACGTACACTTACCTATACCTGTACACATACGCAAACCTCACGGGAGCTTATTGTATATATGCGCATGTTTGATTGGGTGTATACTCAATTATATAATACATGCACTAATTTAAAACATTCCTCGTACACTTGCTAGATGTATATTCTACACTTCACATCTATTCTTTTTTATTGATCTTATGTAAATAAAAAAATAATATTGATCTTATGTAAATTGCTAACTTTAACACATAAATATACATAAGGTGCATATATATAGTCGTGTCCCCATACCCTATCTTTTACAAATTTGATGTGTCCCGTTATACCCACGCACCAATACCCATAGTCATACCCATGCCACCTAGCCTTCCAGTAACAAGAATGTGCTTCCTGGAGATATAATTTGTAATACATTTAGAGAGATTCAGGGAATGGATTAATAAAATTTAGGAGAATAAACAAATTCTAATGCAGAGTTCTAAGCAAAGAAATATTACAAATTGCCACAAATACAAAGTTAATTGTTTTTTAGTCAGGTGAAATTTCCCCATTGTTAATCCAAGCATTTTCTGCTTCTCTTTAGAGATTGAGTTTGACCAAAATATAGAGCATTATACTATGTAACATGGACGCAAATATGCATACAGATGCCGACACAGATATGGATACAGATGCCGACACAGATATGGATACAGACGCCGACACAGATATGGACATGGGACACATCAAATTTGTTAAATGTAGGAGACGGGGACACGAAAAAATTATTAAATGTAGGGTATATATAAATTTTCAATTATATCAAATATTGAATGAAAATACCCATAATATTTCTATGTTTCTATCTATTATTTAAATTTTTTTAAAATCAAGTTAAATCAAACTAAGAATAAGGTTTAACAATAAACGTTTAGTTATGATCACATGGAATAATACGAAAGGTATTTTTCAATTATTTAAGTAATGAGTTTCAGTTTTCGGGATAAAAATCGATTTGTACTGAACCCAAAATTACCAAACTAGTTTAGGTATAAGCAATAGGTCAATCGACTGGGATTTTCTTTGAACCACACGTGTCCATGGGCGTGTCCATGGGCGTGTCCGCGGAGAATCCACGTCCGACATGATAGACACGGCATACAAAACGTCATCTGAGTAACCTAGGTAATATGTGAACTTAAAGCAACCACTGAAAACATCAACATTATAAATAATTCAAAATGCCATTAGATGGACATAGTTTTGGGAGTCAGGTAGACTACTTTACAACAGAAATCAGAATTTTATAAATTTAGTTGATCCACCATTAACCCATTGCTCTATCTTATATCTGTTTTGTGCAATATCCAGTACATGTTTGCTTCTGAAGATCTGGTTATCCTGGAACGATAACATTTAATTAAAAAATAAATAATGTTATATATAAATTTAAAATTGTAAGTATAGGTTGAACCACAAATGAAGATTTTACCTTTAGTAGGCATTAGAATCTCAATTACCCTGGATATCTGTTATATATTTCCATCTTTTAGCTATGTAGAAGCTTATATTACTCTGTAAGTATTCCATTCAGTTTGATTCATTTTTAGCCCCTACATTGAACTAGTGTTAATACAAGCATTGCATTTACGTGTTGTGTGATTCCGTACTTTTTTTACTTATCATTCTCTTATAAGTGCATTTTCAGTTTCCGACAATTACAGTAGAGGGTGGTGGCATGCTTGGAGGAAGATATGACTCATTTGGTGGTGGTCACATTGGTGAGGGTCGGATGGGTGGTTTTAACCATGGTGGTGGATATGGTAGCACTTCACTCTTTGGAAGGCCTCATGATTGCCCTTCATCACGCCTGATGGGTGGTTTAGGTTAATCTGTTGGGTCGGATTGTTTTGGTTCATTTGTTAGGACTCCAGGATCAAACTGATTCATTTGGTGGTGGTCACATTGGTGGTGGTCGGATGGGTGGTTTTAACCATGGTGGTGGATATGGTAGCACTTCACTCTTTGGAAGTTCTCATGGTTGCCCTTCATCAGGCCTGATGGGTGGTTAAGGTTAATATGTTGGGTCGGATTGTTTCGGTTCATTTGTTAGGACTCCAGGATCAAACTGAAAAGGTATTCCGGAAATTTTGGAGCGTTTAGAAAATTTGAAGATTCCAGGAGTTCTGGAGACTATGGGAAATTTGCAGGTTCTTACGCCTAGTTTGGCACGCGAGAATGAGTGGGAATGGAATGTAATTCCAACCTCTCATTCATGCTTACCAAACATTGTGTAATTTGATGCTAGAAATATCATTCACACTCCTCATCAATTCCCACTTAATGTGGGAATTGCTATTCCCAATGAGTTACCAATAGGGGTGCCAAACGGTTCGGATATATCCGAACCGATCCGCATCCGTATCCGAACGGATGCGGATATGGTAGGCTAATTTTGAAACCGGGCGGATACGGTAACGGATACGGATATGGTTTCGGATTTTTTTTCGGATACGGATTCGGTAACGGATATGAGGGTTGCGGATACGGATATCCGCAATATAATAGTGATTCGGGTAATCGGGTCCCCATCTTATAGTTACAAACCCGCTAACCCAAAACCAAAACTAAAAAGAAAAAACCCTAGGCCCTCACTCACCCTCAGCCCTCACTCCTCAAGCCGCCTCCACTCTCAAATCGCTCCACACCTCCACGATTCTCCAGCGACGGAGCGGCGGGATTTTCCGGCGATCTCACAGCCGGCGATCTCACAGCCGGCGATCTCTTCTCCTCTACCTTCTCGCCAGCGAAGAGTCAGCGAAGACTGAGTCGCCACTCGCCTCCTCTACCTTTTCGTGTAAATTGGGTAACCATTTTTAGCTGCACCTAACTCTCAAATCAAGTTACTACAAAACTAGAAACATCAAGATCAAGCAATGATATGGGGTTTTTTCGTACTCTTCTGCAAATTATAAAATTCCAAATGGGCCATTTAACAAAAATCAACCGTCAATTTAATCACAAGTCGTCGTCGGCTGGATGTTTCATGAAGATTGACAAAGATATTTGTACACATTACTAGCTAGACACTGTTTTTTGTCTACTTGTTTTTTAAGCCAATTTAAGCCCTTGTTGACAGCGAATCCTGCTCCCTGGGGCTTTCTACACAAAAAATCCGAATTTCTCATGCAAAATAAATATTAATTGTGTATCAAATAACAATAAATAGTTATGATTGAGAAATGGGAGAAAATAAACCCTGTATTGTAATAAGTTGTAGCTGCAGTTATGTTACACAAGTTTGTTTTGGGCTATCAGTGCTTTTAGACTTTTGCAAGGATCCATTGCAATTAACTATTTTTAGCTGCCAGAAATTAACTTAGTTAAATTGGATTTTTAGTTGGGTTGTGCTACTGAAGATTTTGGATGAAGATTATATGTCTAATAAATTTGTGCTCAATTTTAGTTTTCAATTGATGGTTTTGTATGAAGATTATATGTCTAATAGATTTATGTCGAATATCCGTTTATATCCGTGATCATATCCGATCCGATTCTTAAATATCCGAACCGTATCCGTTTCCGATAAATGCGGATATGGTTAAGGTTTTTTCTTACCGAGGGTGATCCGTATCCGTATCCGTTTATAAAAAGCGGATATGGATATGGTAAACGTCATATCCGAACCGTATCCGCTCCGATAACACCCCTAGTTACCAAGGAATTGATATTCTCACGCAAATGAGAATAAAAATAATAAACTAAATTTCAGATATACCCTTCTTAAGGATATTCCCACTTAATTCTATAATCACTCCCAAACATGA